CGCTATATTATACTCCTTGTACCCCAGCTACCCCCACAACATGTAGGTAGCCCTGCAGTAGGCATTTTTATCAGGACCTCGGAGAGAAGAACATGTCACTCACTGGCCATGTGGAACTTGTATTGTGAAGGTGACACATCATACTGTTCTAGTTAAAACCAAGTTGGTGAGTCCAAGGGAATGGGCTAGAAAACAACTCATAGGAAGCTATTTCTAATAACAGAGAAATAGTAACCTAAGCTGGCTTAGGATAGCATTTTCTTTTTATTCCAGACTAGGTGTGCTCTAGATTATAATAGGATAAACATGCTGGATGCTTTCTCTTGGCCCCTACACACCCACTCTCCATCCTTCTCTACCCTCCTCTGGACCCCAGGGTGCTCCGTAGGCCCATTTTCCTCTGGTTTCCAAATGGGTTCAGCAAATGGGAGGTTCCAGAGGGCCCTGGAGAGGGGGAGGGGAGGTGGGAGTTTCCATGCCCCAGTCCCCTCCCTGCTGGGCCAACACTGGTTGGCTGCATCCCTCCACCTAAGGTGACACTTGCTACCAAGGGGCTCTCCTCTGGCCACGTGGTTGTATGGCCACGTCATCCCCTTGCCCTGTTATCTCGTTGAGTTCCCTACATCACACCCTGCTTTTTAAGAGACCTTTTATTAAACTGTCCTTCATCACCTGGCTTGAGCATGCCATCTGTTTCCTCCTAGATCTTCAACTGATGCAGTGAATAATGAAATAGTATTTCATTGATGCAGTCTTTGTAGGCAAAACTGTGGAAAGTTCCTCAGGTCCTCCTAAGAGGATGAGAAATGCTAACCACATCAGACCTGGTTCTCTCCTACCCTCACTTCCTCTTTGCTAGACCTCACCAAACAGGAAGTAGGTCAGATAATCTGCCTCAGGGGCCTACCAGCAGAGCTCTAAACTTGGCCTGCAGTATCTCTGAGTAGCTACCTACCACCGCCATCTAGCTAGAACTCCACATAGGGAGGTGGGAATGCCGGCACTAGCCATCCCAATCACATCTGGGTGGTAACTTCAAAGACTTCCAGCTCAGCCTTGTACCCACTCACATCAGATTACTGGAAGCCTTCATGGCCGAACCATCCCCAGGGATGGCAGGCCTCTGAGAATAGCTTCTCCTCCCAGAAAGACCACGGCCCCTGAACCTACTTATCTGCTGGCTCTGACAGATGGACTCTAGAATTTATCAGACCAAATGATTTTATTTCCCTCAACACATCTATGTGCATGAGAGCAGTCAATGAATTAATTATATTAGGAAACCTACCAAGCTGAAGACAATTGCTTATGACTAAGGACCAAAAAGGTGCTGAAAAGACAGAAGGCAAGCAAACCTCAGAGGCATCTTTGGAAATGGACAATTATGATCCATTAAGCCTAGTTAAGGAAGTGAAATTTATGAGGAGGAAACATCTGGAACTGCCTGGAATGTAAAGGAACGAGGAGGAACCACTGTTTGGGCTTGTAGAGAGCAGCCCAGACAAATGGGATTCCATGTTAGGAGAGAATTGCAAAATTAGTACATGAAAGGGACAGCCACCGAGGCAGTGCATCTGGTGTTAAGCAAAGCATTTTAATACAATGGTTCCTGGATTTGCTCTTGAAATATTAATTGAAATGGGGATGAGTATGAGGGCTGTCACATGAATAGAAAACTGGCAGAAAGATCATAAATACTGGCTAAGCTGAGCCAAGGCAATAGAACGTGGCAATGCAACAGAAATAATGAAAATGGTGCCTAATTCCCAGCCATGAACCCTGTGGCGGCTTAATAAATATTAATTGATAATAATGAACTACAGTACAGGGTGGTAAATTAGTGTGAGACAGGCTGCTGGAATGCAACTAATATATATACAGTTAGTATAACATACACTGATAAATGAGAAGAAAGGAAATGGAAATGATTTAGCTGTGCGATGCATCGTGCCTGCACCAGGAAGTGTGGGTGAGAGGATGGGGGAGGGGTGGCAAGCGAGGACAAGAGGAAAGTTAAGAGGATAATTTAGGATCACAACACAGCTTCCTTAGGGTCTCAGCAATTCCTGAAGTATAAGCCAGGCCACCTTGGAGTCATACTCTATTCTTTTAAGACATGGAGGCTTTCTCAATAAATTTCTGTTTCCGGGACCTCCTAGACACCACAGATTAAATCTGAACCAATTTCATTGAGGGAGATATGAAAGCTCTCCTCCTTGGGAAAGCCTACCCCGATCAACACAGCTGGAAGACCAACCTCCTTTTGAAATCCCATCACTCTGGTTCTTTGCACCACTGTATACCTCCTGGTATCACTATGATTTGTGTTATTTGTGATGAGACTTGGTAAAGCTTCGCAAAATGGAAATCATGCTTTGCATTTCTTAACACTCACATGGATCTTCACCCTTAGTATCTCACAGTGCTTCGAACTTAGTAGGTGCTCAATTCCTGTGCTGATCAATTAGAAACACTAGAGAGGAAAACACACACCTATAAGAGAGCTCACCCAGCTGCCTCCTGGGTTTGAGGACCAGCTTCGAAGGAGATCGATGAAAGCTCTACCTCTTGTTATGGACAAAGCACTGGAGAATCTGCTGCAGGAACAATCTTAGGCTGCCAGAGGAGGATACAGAAACCTCGGTTGCCATGGAAACTTGTATGATCTGATGATTCCCATTGTTGAAAGATGGTAAGACACCAGGAGAATGACAAGCAGATCCCCGAACCCTAAGAAAACACAGAACACGCCAAGCGAACGTCTCTGCTCATTTGTACTTTTTTCTTAAGATGCAGTATCATCATCTATCTATAACAGCATTTACAAAGGGCCTTCCAAATGTTTCCAGTTCCTATTTTGATTAAGTAATTTCTGAGATGCCAAGTATGCGCAGAGCTACGTCTGAGGCAGGCAGACAGCACTCACTGCAGCAGGTGGATACAGGTGATGGAGCCAGGTGCTTCTGAGATCCTGCTCTGTGACCTGGGTAAGGTAAGCCATCTGCGTGCAGGTCCTGTGGGCCAGGCTTGCTAGACTAATGGCAGAGGAAGCTACCTAACCATTCTCGGGTCACAGATACCTTTGAGAATATGGTTATAGCTATGGACTCCCTCCCCAGAAAAATGTGCACATATGCACATACATATAATATTTAGTACAATATACTTTAGAGAATTCAAAACCCCTGGAGCCTTTCCATAAATTTGCCCTATCGAGCACTCTGGAACTCAAGAGCATCCAGGTATCATGTTAAGAATCTCTGATGCAAACACAAGTCTTTATACATAAGCTAGAATCATCTTTGGTAAAATGGAAAAGGTTGCCATCCCAAACTTCTGAACCAGTGCTCAGTGCCTCCTCCAGGTAGTGCTCCCTTCCTCCATACCCAGTATCTCCTGCTACTGTGTACTTAGCTCATGAATGGCTACTCACTAGTAAGTTCACTCACTCACTCATTCATTGCACTGAGTGTTTTCCATGTGTCAGACTTTAGGGACCCAAATGTGAGTATGACATGCCTCATGCCCTCTAGGAGCCTACAATTCAGCTCAGTCAGGGCTGATTTTGTTTCCCAGGGGATACTGGGCAATGTCTGGAGACAGTTTTCGTTGTCACAGCTGGGTGAGGGGTGCTATTGGCATCTGGTAGATAGAAGCCAGGGATGCTGCTGAAAATCCTCCAATGCCCAGAACACCCCCAACCCCACAACAAAGAAACACAGGGTCCAAAATGTCAGATAGATTGAGAAACCCTGATTTAAGGTGGACAGTCATGAGACAAAGCGTTAAATGTGGTGAGGAAGACCAGAGGTAAATATTATGGCAGCTCAGGAAAGGGTATTTTAATAAGAATTCTGGAATATATGGTTATGGTGGCAAACTGCCTTACTTTCAATGACAGACAGAAGGAAGGTGAAGGGAAGAGTCATTCAGGGTGAGCCATCACTGTATTGAAGGCAGACATTCCTTTGTGCAACACCAGAGGAGGGGGTATCAATTTCAAGTGGTGAGCAAACAAATAGCACTTGGTGGGGGGATGTCCCCATAGGAAATGATGTTGGTCTGTACCCAGCCCTATCAGTCAGTGGCTCAGCCAAAAGCACGTGCAATCATTAGAGAGGCTCATCACTCCAGTTACAAATCCTGTTGCATCCTGGGCGACAGCTAGACTTTGGATGTGCCTTGTCATTCACCATTCCTCCCTACTCTATCTCCATTCCAGTCAATATCCCCATCGTGTACATGCATACACCACAGTGAGTCCTCATGTGGGTAAAAACACAAAATTATAGATATAGAGTGTATATTATGTATTCTATAGATATGCTATCATAAACTTTAATCTCTACGAAGTTGGTTCCAAGACTGATTAATCAGAAAAAGCACAAGACCAGAAATCAGAACTAGACCAAGTTCCAGCCATGCATTCTTTACTCCTTGTATACTCCGCTCTCCCAACCTCCAATCCTTTGACAGTGGTTTGCCTGAAATCAGGCCTGGCCTCCAGCATCAGCAGGCACAGAGATGGCAGATGTGCTGATACACCTGTAAACCTCTAGCCCTGTTGAAGCTGGGGCTGTTTAATGTCGAAAAGTACCAGGCAAGGAGCTCCCGGTCACTGGCAAACAAGGGTTTCTGCTTCTGAGCTGCTAGCTGTGGAGTGACAGCATGATCTGCGGGGATGCGGAACGGGAGGCCCGAAGGGAGTGGAAATCCCAAGTCTATCGCACACCAGTCCCATAGCCCTGAGGAAGTTCCTTAACTTGTTAAACTTCAGGTTTTTTATTTGTAAAACAGGAATAATTAAAGTTCCTATCTTAAAGGGTCACCCTGAGTACTGAATGACGATTTCTATCTGAAGCGCTGACCAGAGCCTCTGGCACGTAGCAAGCCTCCGTAAATTTCAGCTGTTCTCACCAAGGGAAGGGAGCCACCCTGGTCCAGCCTGCAGCCATCCTGGTCCATGCTTGGCTCCACCACCTGCACATGCTGAGCTGTCTGCTAAAGTGGCTTACATGTTAGACCTTACCATCATCCCTGTGCAGGGGCCATGCTAATCTTCGTTCTCTGTATCATCCCAACTTTTAGTATGTGCTGCCGAAGCAAGCACCAAGATTTTTACTGTTTTTTTTAATTTTTATTTTTAAGTAATCTCCAACCCCAACGTGGGGCTCAAACTCACAACCCTGAGAGTCACATGCTTTACCGACTGAGCCAGCCAGGCACCCCACTGGACTCTACCAGTCCCCACTGCCAACAGAGTCTATGTCCACTGCTTGGGTGTATTCTATTTCTGTTCTTTCACCTGCCTTCCATTCAGACCATTTCAGCAGCAATACTGCTCATATCTCCAGCCTCCCTCCCAGCACTGATGGGTTCTGATCTTTTCCTGCTCATCTGGGGTCCCTTTAAGGCCCTAAGCAACCAGGTATTTGGGGCTGTACCTACCGGGCCAAGCCTCCCTTGTGTTCTCTCAGCCCATCCACACCAAATCTATCCAGAGCCCCCAGGGGTGTGTGCTGGGCAAGACATTCTTCTAGCATGTTCTTGACCTGCCATGATGGGCTCAGCGAGGCTGCTGGGCAGATTCACTGGGTAAATTTTCACTTAAGTATCTGATACTTTTCTCGCTCCACGGTCACCTGCTGTCAAGGAGGAGCAGTCAGATTCAGCACAACACTTTGGAAAGGTAGCTAACCCAGGCCAAGGCTGGTCTGTTCCCCACCTGTTGCTTTTTCCCAAAAACGGGCTTTGGCTGGATCCTCAGACACCAACCTTTGGCTTGGGGATAAAAACCTCACTCTTCCTCAATGACCTTTCTCTACTTGATGCTCACTTGAGAAATCTCAAACAATCTTGGTATCAGAGCACAAAGGTCAGGCCTCCTGGTCAGAGTTACTGAGTGAACCATATTTCATACATGTTTCCATTAGTAGAAGGGATCAAGGGTAGCTCGGATTTGAGTCGCTCCAGCAACCTAGTGGCCTGTGCTCTGTACAGCATCGCTATGGGGAGAGTAGCCCAATTACAGCACCAAAAGAGTCGAGAAAGCTACAGGTATGCCTAAGCATTACAAAAATGCAGATTTTTGGGGTAGTAGTCACAATCCATGGGCTGTTCTGAGCAACACCAACAATGCCCCTATTTTCCATTTAGAAAAATTCTCAGTGAGCTCTGAGCTTTCTAAGATATTTACCTGTACTCCAGTTCATGCACGTGGGTACATACATCTTTGTTTGACATCCTAAACTTGCTCCTTGGCCTGCCTCAGCATATTGTGCATCCTTGAGGGTAAACACAAGTCACCATTCAGAAAGTTAGCACCCAGGAAAAGTGAACTAGACCTTCAAGTTTCCCATTTCTCTACTGTGTGCAGATACCCTTTAGAATCCAGCCTGCTGTCTCTATAAACCAACTGTTATTGGAACATAAGCCACGCCCATTTATTCATGCATTGTCTGAGGCTACTTTCCTGTTCCTGCAGCAGAGCTGAGTAGTTGTGACTGCTCAGCTGGCCTGGGAAGCCCAAATGATTCACTATTTGGCTTTTCACAGAGTTTGCTGAAACCCTGCTTTAGAATTCCTCCCGGTCACTAACCAGGGGTGAAATCACTGAAGATAAAGCAGTAGAGATTTACATTTGTGCATATGTCAGGGTTCTGTCCCTCTGTAAATATAATTATAAATGTAAGGATAAATACAGAGAGATTTATTATAAGGGATGGAGTCATGATTATAGAGGCTGAGAAGCCCCATGATATGCTGTCTGCAAGCTGGCAGCCCAGGAAACCCAGTGATGTAGCTCCAGTCCAAACCCGAAGTCCTGAGAACCAGGGGAGCCAATAGTGTAAGTCCCAGTCCAAGTCCAAAGTCCTGAAGACAGGGAGTGCCGGGTTCCGAGGACAGGAGATGTCTCAGCTCAGGCAGAGAGCAGGTTTGCCTTTTCTCTGCCTTTCTGTCCTATTCAGGTCTTCAGTCAATCTGATGATGCCCACCCACAATGGTGAGGGCAAACTTCTTTACTGGATCTATTGATGCAAATGCTACTCTCCTCTGAAAACACGCTCACAGACACACCCAAAAGTAATGTTTTGCCAGGTACCTGGGCATCCTTGAGCCCAGTTAAGTTGACACATAAAATTGACCCAAGGAAGAAGTTTCTCTGGGAAAAAAATAATTCAGCAATGAAATGAGTTGTTAGCAGAGGGTATAGGACAATATCCTTGGGTTGCCCCTTTCTTCTCTGCCCACCCACCAAATTCTCCCCATTGCTTCAGCTGTAGTACATGTGCTACCGAAGCAAGCTCTCGAACTGCTTCAGAGCACGTTCTAACTCCAGCTTCTCCTCCACGGCGCTCCTTACACCCACCCCCCATGACTTGGTGCCTCTCAGAGTCACTGCCACACCATTTCCCTCCTCTGTGTTACATCACTTTTCCTGCTGATTAGGTCAGCTTCCATAAATAAACTATTGTCTTGTATCAGTCAGGGGGCTCCGTAGGAAAAAGATGACACAGGCAAATCATCTAAATTGAGAAGATTTTGGTAAAGGAACCACACAATAAAGTGTGGGCAGACCTAAAGCAGACCAACATGAGACAAACTGGCAACATCCAAGAGTCATTACTACCAAGAAACCTGAAGGAACATGGGGAGAGGGAAGGTGCCAGAACACAGAAAGAACCGTGGTTTTGTGAGCCCAACAAAAGCTGTGACCTTAGGCAGAGCTGTCCAGTCACCGTGGCCCAGGACCAGGCAAGGAGAGAACAGGAAAGCCATCAGCTTGACCTCTCTCTCTTCCCTGACCTCTGATCTCATGCTAGGTCCCCCCCGTTGGCCAAACCCAACTAGATGTCAGAAGACATAGGATCCTGTTGACAAGGTCTGCGTGGTACATCCTCCAGGGGTGCACAGCTAGGCAGAGAAGGATCGGGTGGATCTGGAGGGAAAAGCGGTGACTATCCAGAACATCCCAGAGCGACTACAACACCTTAAATGTAAAGCAGGTTTTCTAGTGATGCTTATTGTTTGGCTTAATGTGTGCCTGTGGAAGGCCTAATCACTAATAGTTTGGATACAAACCATCGAGAGGCTGAAGGATGAATGGAGGGACTTGGTGTGGGGCCTTTCCTGCTCTCATGAGTTTATCAAAACTGCCCTCCTGTCAGAGCTGAGGATCTAGTGTGGCCAACATTTCTCTTCCTTCTGGAAGGGGAAAAAGGAACGGGGTACCACGAAAGATTTGTCGTTCATGAAAGAAACTTACTCCCATCCGTGGCTAAAAGCAAAAAGTAATTTTCCCTCAAATTAAAAGGGAATTTCTGCTATTGGCATGTGAGCTGGTAAAAATAAATAAATACATAAATAAAATAATTCACTCTCAGCCTTCTCATCAGCTCAATGCTATCCTAGCCACACGTATCAAATAGCTATACGGGCAGCCTGGGAATGACTTTTGCAAGTAAAAAAGCACAGTGTGAAATGCTGACTTTTTCTGATCAAAAAGCATCCTGGGGTGGGTGGAACAGCTTTGGGTCAAGAAGAGGCCTCGATTTCTGGGGTGATTTTTATTGTTCTCAGAGAGGAGACTGTTCTTGCTGTGAATGTGCAGCTCCTCGGCACACTCCGACTGGTGAAAGCAAACTTGTAGTCACTTGTCTTTCTCTCAGGGTACTTACCCCCCACATTGAAACATATTTTTCATTTCAGTTTCACTTACCTGTCACTTTCTTCTTAAAAAGGGTGATTTATCAAGTAAAAAAATCAACATCAAAGAACACTTCAATGCTACTGGGTTGCACACACACACACACACACACACACTCACTCACTCAAACCCTCCCATGTCCTGTCCTTAAGGCAAAACTGTGACTAAAAACCACAAGCGACCATCCCCCAATGGGAAGCTTTCTTCAGTATCTGGACTGTGAGTTTCTTTATTCTGTGGTTCCACCAGCCTACAAATTTAAAAGCTGTTGCAAGGGGGCTGTAATTTTTACTCAACACTTCATGATTTGATTATGTAAAATAAAAAGTATAATGAAGTTAATAGTACCTTATTCTTACTGTACATTATGAGGAATTTTTTTCCTGCAAAATGTGAAAGTGGAAATTACCTCTGGGCCTTCTAATTCTCAAAAATGTGGGTCATAATGATTACTGTGGTGGAATTTCAAGACTTAAGATTTAGTATATTTCTCTTTCCTCTATTCAGTTTTCCAAAGGGACGTCTCTTCTTACTGGGATTTTATGTAGTAAAATGTAAGGAAGTGAAGTGAGGGGTAGGAGACCTGCATCATACGCTACTTGTGGGACCTCGAGAAAAACACTGAACCTCACTGAGTAATAACTTCTTCTACAAAGTGAGGCAACTGGATAACCCAGTTCCAATATAGCATTCTAGGACTTAAAAAAAATAAAGCGGAATAAAGTAAACATGCCTTGAGAAAGATGTCAGGTGTCTCTTTCACCTTGTATTTTCCAGGAATCCTTTTCCAGAATTATCATCTTGTGTTTCTCTCCCAGTTATTTGTGTGATTTCAGCAGGGAGCCAAAGAGGAGGGCAATGTCTTGGGTTCAAGTCCTTTATAGGCCAGTCAGCTTTGAGCTCATCCCTGTCTACCTCTCTTCCTGATGGTCACAAGAGAATTCACTCAAGGGACTCTCAGTGGGTCTCACTCTCAAAACACCAACTCAGAACAAGTACTCCTGCTGTCACTGCCTCAGCATCTTTTTTTTTTTTAATATATACATATTTTGTGATTCTTATGTTAATCCCCATACATTACATCATTAGTTCTAGATGAAGAGTTCCATGATTCATTGCTCGTGCATAACACCCAGTGCTCCATGCAGAACGTGCCCTCCTCAATCCCCCCCACCAGGCCAACCCATCCTCCC